TGAGCGACTGCATCGCGCGATGCAATCGCAGAGTCTCCGACATCTCAATAGCAAAATTTTATCAGAGTCTTTGGCCATTGTTTAACCGAATCTGCTTTTTGAGGGCTTGAGATCAATTTGGCTCGGGGGTCGAAATACCCCTGGCGGCAAAGTTATAGCTCAAACTGAGAGTGAATGAAGGATTCAGTCGACACACTAATTCATATTCACTATTGAACCTTCAAGGTGAAAATCGCGTTCAGTGGGAACACTCCCTGCTACCTCATCCGTATGTAATTCAGCATTCCTTTTGGCTATCTAATACAATGGGTAAGGATAGGTGAACTACTCATTTTAGGCGTACTCTTGATAAGGACCGGTGGATGTTGTGCATTTCACACATTCTGCCCACATCCTATCCAATTTTCTGCACCAGGTCATCCACCCTGGAGCTCCTCCACCCTTAGCCCTAGGCAGAGGTGTCCATTCTCCTGGTCCAGGACCGTTCCCTTGGACCATGGCAGGCGGAAATGTGAAAGCATCTCAGGGTTTCTTCCACATTACACCGATACTTATCAGAAGTCTACTTTAAATGAGTCGATTACGTGTCATGAGCCTCTCATCCTTATCTTGAGTATTGGAGAAAAAATGGAGTGGCCCCCCCCCGAACTGGAATTCCACCGTCTCAACGTCAATTGATAATAGAAAAAGATCTCAGGAAACGAGACACGTTGAATAGAAAATACTTACCTGCCGCAGACCCATCAGCAGGCTGTTTCGAAGCATGCATCCACAATGGCCCTGTACTTCCAACTGCCTCAACACATATTGCCAGCTCAAGTCGGTTATCATCTTAAAATTCCACTTAAAAAGAGTCACCAATAGTAATCACAAGGCCGTGCACACGCTAAGCAAAGAAGCAAAAGAATGAAATCTCACCAGAATTATCACTCTGGAAATCCTCGATGAACTGCCTTGCGCCTTGGTAATTGTATTTTCCTGCCTGCCGTCCACACGAAAACCTTAACGGGTGATAAATAACTGATAAAACAGCATGAACAGATGACGGAGACATAGTCCCTACTCGCATATTACACTGCGATCTTAACAAGAGGACAGGAAATTCAGATTTAAAGAACTAAACAAATGAATGGAGGCCTGTGGATGGCTTCTCTAGAGGTTTACGGAAAATGGCAAGACGCTCGAACAAAAGCAATTAGTCACTTACGTCGTGGAATCAGACGCTCCACCAAGATTGTTCTACAATATGATAAAAACCGCTGGGTGGGGGGGGGGGGGGGACAACGAGATAAAACAGAATCCATTGCAATGAAGAAAGAACGTGCGGGGAACACAGCATGAGAATCGTAGTGAGCAACAAAAGCAATGGTAGGAGCGGAGCGTTCACTGCTGCTCAGACGGCCCTGCAAACAACAATAATTAGCAAGTATAAAATGTTCATGCATCGTATAAGGGTCGATGATGGACTGCTTCTTAGAAACTTTCACACCACTAGAGAAACCGATTATTGTCGCCACTTTTCAAATAAGAAATAAATAGAAAGTGGTGGAGCCCAGATGAACAAATAAACAATTTCAGACAACCATCAATTTAAAGCATTGGAAAGTTCAGAATCGACCACGCCGCACAGCCAGTGTAGTACTGAATGAGCTTTGGATCTTGTCCAGGTCTTCGCTTGTCGTGACCCGCACACCACCCAAGTTTAGCGGGAGTGTAGTGCCTCACTCATAAGATTTCTCTAGCCTGTCCTCCCTCCTCCTCCACGCTTGTCTCTCATCGCCTAAGCTCACAAAGAGCAAGCCGTTATCTAAAGCGTTTTAAACGTCCTGAAACCATGTTTTTCCTTTATTCTTGATTGGCCGCACACTTCGTTTTTGCTTTTTCCCTTTGAAAGAATCGCACCAGTTGGAACGCGAGGCCTGCCTTTCAATAGCGAATGACAGAAACAAGATAGAATGCAAGACTCACAATGATATTACTGGGCTTGTAAGTTAATGGAGTTGCATGATGCCGAACAGTCGACGTGAACTTAACAAATAGTACCAATCGTTAATGGAATTTGCCAAGGTGTAGGCGCATAAAATCGTGCTATACCTGGAAAGTGTTTGCCGCTATGGAATTGATCAACTGCTGAGTTGCTGACTTACTGACACCGGAGGCGGATTGCACATCACTTAGGATGGTGTTCGCTTCGGGAGATGAATGCGAAACGTACACGGCAAGATCAGTGCGTGCCGTTGCAAGTTTTTGCTCAAGCTCCATGAAGAGCTGGAAAAGGCGGATACAGTAGGATGATGTTATTTAGAATCTAAAATGTCAATCTACACGTAGTTGTCGCATCCATATAGACTATAGTGCACATTAAATTAGACCTATGTCAGGGAGTAATAAAAATGATAGGAGAAAAGAAAGAATAAACAAGTAGATTTTGGGAAAACCAAGAGAAGTGAAACGCGTATAGAGACTTCAATTGCCATTTGTTTAAAAATCCAAAACGCGTCAGAGGTGGAGTTGATGGCCAACAATGAAAAGAATCGAAAAGATCTGATTGATTTGAATGAGTATCAGCACCTGTCCAGGGACTCTACATCATATCTAAAACCAGTATCAGCCGAGCCACCTAGGGCCGATGTCAGACTTTGCGAATCGAGCGACTCGCTAGCGTGCGGTCGCGTCGCGGCCGAATCCCCTCTACTGGGCCGTATGCTATCCTCCCCGAAGGGTTGGGGGACGAAAAGTCCTTTGAATTTTCTCTGTCTTCCCATCTGGGATTGCCCTGATAAAGGACCTACATTTAATGTATGTATGTAGGTAAAAGTAAACATGCACTGAAAATGAAGAAACTATATCGTTCAAAACAAATAAATTTAAAGGAAACTTTAGATCACTGAGCTTCGGGGAAGCATAGCATACGGCCCTGCTTAGTACCTAATCAGGCAACCATCGCGCTAGGCAAAGTCTTGACTGGCCCAGCCTACTGCCTATTCTTGAAAGTCTGTTGGGAACAGGTTGACTGAACGACACAAAAGATCAAACCAGAACACCAAGAAATCACTCGCAAGCAAAACAGAATAATGCTCCTACCGTCTTGTCGGCAGGTGACAAAGCATCCAGGTCTGATGGAATTATAATTAGCAGAGCACCCACAGTAGTCTCCATTAATTCATCGAGGTTCCGACCAGTTAGATCGCGCCATGATACAACCACGCATCTGTAAAACAAACTAATGCCATGATATAGGAATGGAATTAGAAGTCCACCTACCTTCTGAGCGCTTTCGAATTAAGCGACACGGCCTCATACTGCACTCGAAAATGTTTACTTCCTATGACGTTGCCGTTGAGCTCATACTGTTGAAGGCGAAATGCTTGAAATTCCAATTCGACCTTGTCGCAAGTTGACTTCCGCTCACCTGTGAATTCATAGTATGCCTTCCCGACACCCATTTCATGGGATGAGGTTCTGCAATTAGAATACAAACGCCTTCATTCTGAGTGGTTAACCCGAGGCAATTCAACAGTTGAGACAGCCAGGTGTTCTTACTTGATAAGAAATGAAGATAAGGAAAAGATCACGCCCTCAGCCATGGCTTCGAGGCTTCGTAAACACATACCTATAGGATATTACTTTCCACCTTTGCGCTTTTGATGTCTTGTCTTGATGGCGGTAGTTTTGCTCTCTTTCAGGCTGCGAGCTCCTGCCTGTGTTTTTTTATCGAAACGAAGAACGTTCGAAACCTTAGGTCAGTGTAAGAACTTTTGTCTAAGCGCGGCTTAAATTGCAGCGGTTCGTAGTTGACCATATTTGCATCACATTCAGTTGTCGATCGGACGGTCCGACCGATCGCACAACTGAATATGAATTAAATACGGGTCGCACGTCCGATCGTCCGATCGCATGGTAAATAGCTATCTACTCCACCGTCGGTTGTGGGATCGGACGACTGCAAACCAGAACTGCGGCTAACAGCCCGTTGGCAAAGTGAAAACGCAATAGGTTGTCATACTGAGTTTTCAAGATAAGAGGAGGAATGTACACTGGGAAGGAGGAGGAAGGGGGTATCTATGGGAAGTGGTCACTACGACATTATTTTGCCTAAAGGAGGACGGATTCGGAAAGAATGAATATCACTCACCACCCCGAGCTCCCTCTCTTCTGAGCTTATGTTGCATAAGAACAAACTGATGTTTCGCGGACTCTGATCGCAATGTTGTGGGGTGCCCCCCACCGCAGACACAGGTGGCTCCTAAGAGGAGTTCAAGTCTAGTACGAAAAACCGTTTGAACGACTGATGGAACGCTCTCCCGCCCCATCTTTCTGGGAAAGCTAGAGCGATGTCCTCCGATGAGGTGTGGTTCACTAGGACAGAAAGCGACTTTTTCGCTTCTCGCACTCGAAACCCACTGATGATCAGCGGTGAACCTGAAGCGCCTGCAGCGAAAAATGAACGAAAAAAAACGAACAATACCTAAGTCTCCCCAAATCTTCCAAAGTTTCAAAAATAAACTTTATATTGCAACACTCACCACGCAAAAAGACAGCAAAACCGACACATAAACAATGAAGAAGGGATTGCGAATCGCTTCCAAAAGCTCCTCCATGATTATTACCTGAAATGATCACTGGATTAAATAAATCTCCAGAGAGCCGTGTCAGAACTTCAAGAAATTGTTCTGGCGTCATGCAAATAAAGAAGAATCCACAACTCCTTATATAAAACCTTCAAAATGTTGAAAACTCTCTATAACTCAGGAAATAACCTTTGGCCTGGCCCAGCGCCAAACCCCATCGTTGCGCGACCAACATTGCGAGAACAGCGCGGCAAATCGGCGCGTCGTTCCAAATTCGCCCGCCCCCGTTTACCATGATCCGTCTATTCTCCGCAAACTGCTGCTGTTTTGAATTGATCTTTCCCCCTCCCCGCAACCCACGCCGCGCACCCCACCCCCCCAATTAGCGCGCGGTGGTTTGAATTTGCGCGCTAGAGTTGCACCGGTCCATGGGTACAATGTGATCAATGGTCGGGTTTAACTAGGATGGAATGATACATAAGAGAGGAAACGAGCTGCCACTAGCTGCCGCTCGAGCACGTATGGACGTAAACTATTCGTAACTGTGTGATAGTGTTACGAATTCGGGTTTTTGAGGAATACATTGTCTTTGATAGGGAACCATTCAGCTCGAGATGTGGCTGACGCATAGCAATACTGCGGAATAGGTTTGTGGGTGGTCAGTCGTTACCTCAGTATTTATACATGTGCAGACAATGTAGTGGCAGTACTCTGTAATGCGCGAGTGCACCCTCTTCCGCCCCTCCCCTTCCCCTTTGCTTTCTGCCTCTTTCACGCTAATGGCGGCCGCAACAGTAGGACGAGTCCTACACCAGTGTGATGACTATTTAATATGATTTTCCAAAATGTTGTAGAATTCTTTTTTGTAACCGTGACAATCGGCTTTACAAGTGAAAATGATTCGTGCAAAGTTCATATTGCTTGGAAAAGTTGCTGATATAGTATTCTCCCCTGAAATCCGAGCTCTGTGATAGCGCCTTCTCGTATGAGAAACAAGCATCATCCACCGTGATGCTTACTCTCCCACTTCGGTATCGCAGAACAATTCTCGTCTACAAATATTCAATTATAAGGATAAGCCCCGGTTGGTAAGTTATACCTACCCCACGAAGAAAAACTAGGCACACTTAGCTAGATACTCTGAGGAGTCGGTTTATCTGAAGCTGCGATATGCATAAGGTTCTTGGTCGAGTTTTGAACCGAAAATTTCAGAAGCGAAAGTTTCATACGTATTCTTCCTTTGGTAACAATTTGTGCCGCAGGTGAAAGCATCGCAAATGTTGCTGGGCTCCTAGTTTAATTTGCGAATATGATCTCCTACATTCACACTACATGTACAGCGTTGCACTATGCTATCTGCTTTGAAAACTGCCAGCTTTTTGGCGCTATCGCAGATGCAGGGGCATTATGGTGGAAATGCAATTTGAACCGTGTAAGCGTTTCTTTTGTCTCGAAATAGAGTCCAAGCCTTTAAGTGGAGGAGAAACTTGAGGCTGCATGAGCAGCTTTCGATTTACCCGAAATCCTGCCCCTTCCTAAGCTTAGTCCTGGAGCATGCCATAGGTATTTGTAATAAGGTCAGCTCCTTTTCAAGTTCTGTACCCTCCGAGGATGGCAGAGCTTCTTCATCGACAGTACTGCCCCTCTAGACAGCTGCAACGGCAGCATGCACTCCGCTGCATTCAAAACCGCGCGCGCGGGAAAATAATCTAAACCGCAGTACCTTGCGGAGAATAGATGGGATCACCGTGGTGCCAGTGCATTCAGGACCGCGTGAAACATCTTCTGTTGAAAATGGGGCTAAGCCCTAGGCACAGGAGGAGGAATTCCAAGGAAGTATGAGGAGT